CACCTGGACGGATCTGGCTCCGATCAGGACGCTGGCGTCGACGATGTTGCTGACGCTGCCGACATGCCCGTGCTCGGCCTGTCCAACAAGGCCATCGACGCCGCCGACCCGCCTGCCCATGTCGAGGCCGAAGCCGACGTCGATGTTGCCCCCGCCGTTCGCACCACAGCCCTTGACATTGATCACCCCCCGTTCGAGGACAGCCTCTCCCGCCACACGCTGTGGCCCGAGGTCGAGAAGCTCTACGGTCACGGCTACGAGATCTCGTGCCTCGCCACGTCTCACGATGGCAAGCTCGTCGCCAGCGCCTGCAGAGCGAGCTCCCTCAACCACGCCGTCATCCGCATCTTCGAGACGGACACGTGGGTCGAGGTCAGGCCGCCGCTGGCCGCGCACACTCTGACAGCGACGCGTCTGCGCTTCTCCCGCGACGACCGATACCTCCTCAGCGTCGGCCGCGACCGGCAGTGGGCCGTCTTTGAACGCGAGGGCGAGAGCGCCCCGCGGTATCAGCTCCTGCAGGCGAACCCCAAGGGCCACAGCCGCATGATCCTCGACGCGGCATGGGCGCCGTCCGCGAGCCCGGCGGCGTTCGCCACGGCGGGACGAGACAAGAAGGTGCGCGTCTGGAGCGCGAAGACGGACGACGATGGCAAGACGGCTTTCGTGCAGGCCGCGGAGGTTGCCTGCGGCGAGCCCGTCACGGCCGTAGACTTTCTGGGGAGGTCGCTTACGGACGGGGCCCTGGCGCTGGCGGTGGGCACCGAGTCTGGCAAGATGTCGATTCACACGCTGGACGCGATGAGTTTGCAGGTGGTCAGCAGCACTCCGTTGCCAGAGCAGTATGTTGGGACCCTCCCCTCATTATTTCATTATTGTATCCTGCCTCACGTAGATCACATGCTAACAATTTGCCAGCCTCTGTCTCCCTACGACTGTTCTCCAACTCGCTTGGCGCCCCGCGGACGATGACAGTCAGGAGTATCAGCTGGCCGTCGCTGGAGAAGACAGCTCCACGAGAATTTATCGCTTGCCGGGGCTGGTTTCGGCATGAGGGGGAAAACGAATAGTCGTCGTGTAGATGCAAGCCTCCGTTCTCGGGTAGACGGCAGACGGATATTAAGTCTATGATGGTATGATTATGCAAAAAAAGAATAAGCCGCATGCTCTCGTCGAACATGAAGGGCTTCCTATCCGGGAGGCCCTCCTCCCTCCACTTCCGGAAAAACGCCAGAACCCGATGAGAGAACCTGCGGTCTCGGTCGGGCAAGGTACAAAACGCCAGATCCCATGCCGCCGCCCTCTCGTGAGCTTCCGTTGCCATGTACAGCCCCAGCGCGTATGGTGCCTCCTCATTGTCGGGCGAAATCCAAGTGCACCGCTGATATGTATACTCTTCGTCCAGTTTCCTCGTCACACGCTCCAAGTCGCTCATCGCGTGGTGCCCTCCTATTCAAAGCTCCCGCACCACAGCCTCGGCCGTCTCCCCTGCCAACACGGCCGCCGTCGTCGACACCAGGCCAACCGTCTGGTGCAGCGCGCCTTCGACGGCCTCCTTTGTCAGCTCGACGACGTCGACGTGCTCGCCGTTCATGTAGAACCAGGCGCGGCCGACAATGAAGGCGATGTGTTGCGGGAGGTAGAGGACCGTCGCGATGAAGGTGAGACTGCTGAGGAGGAAGAAAATCGTGTCTGGACGGGTGTTAGCAATGTGTGCCTTCTTTTTTTTTCGCGTCCTAAGCTCCGAGGACAGAAGCGCCGGGGAGGCAGGCGTACAAAAGGCGAACTTCTCCCAGGGGGTGAAGATGTAGACGCAGAAGGTCACCTCGAGCTGGTACTGCTTGAGGTGCAGCCAGCGGCTGAAGTCGGTGATCATGGACATGTTGGCGATCGCGACGGGTGACTCGGTCGGGTAGGTGGTGCGTGTATCGGTACGGAGTGGCCGTGTCTGGTAGGGGCAGATCGTGGGGACGGGCTGAAGTTTTGCAACTGAGGGACGAGTGACGAAGTTGAGGATGCGGAAATGAAAGGGGGATGTCACGGGCGCGCCCGCGCATGATTTCGGCGGGCCCGGACTCGGCAAGGTACATACACTGCATAGCCGTCTAGTTCGCGATTATCGTTTAATCAGATACATGAAACTAAAGGCACTTTCCATCATGTCGACGACGACCACGACGACGCGTTCAACTTGCAGCGGGACTTCACATCATCAAACCCATATTTCAAGAAAGTAAAGCATCGCATGGATTATCGAATCATTACTGCCTAGGATATAGAGTCAACGCCAAAACGCCACAATTCTAACTCTCAGTCCACTCCAACCCAACACAACACTTGCTCTTCTTACAGACCGTCCTCGTCAATGTCTGGATACTGCCACTGCTCAACAGCTCCAGCACCTGCATGTTCGCCTCGAGTTCCCTCGTGATGAAGTTTCGGATCTCAATGGCCACAAGCGAGTCGAGCGGGTAGTGTGACAAGCTACGTGTGACATCCAGCTCCTCCGGCTCCATCATGAGCACGGCGGCAATCTTGTCGACGAGACCAGCGCACACCACAGCCTCGGCATCTGCCTCGCTGCGTGCCGCTCTCAGGGAAGCATTCAGCGATACCGCCGCACACCCAGCCGCACCCGCCTCGGCGGCAGCCTGCTCCTCCGCCGCGACCCGCATCGTCTTGAACTTGGCGTCTGGCGTCCAGAAGGGCTGCACCGTAGACGTGATGCGCATTCCCGTCACGACGTGCTCGTTGCACACCGACGTCTTCCCAGATATGGCCGCGCTAATCAGTGCCAGTACCTCCGCCTCACAGATGCTGTCCGATCCCAAATTCTTGGCCACCTCGGCCGCGCGCTCGGCCCCGCTGTCGGCGAGGTAGCCCGCGTCCGAGACGGCGGTCAGATCGAGAGATGTCGCCGGCAGACCCTGCGCCAAGCGGTGCTGCACGAGCGCGTTGAGATATGTGTTGGCTGCAGCGTAGGCCGCTTGTCCGCGGTTGCCGACGGCGCCAGAGGCCGAGGATATGGCGATGAAGAAGTCGAGCTTGGCGTCCTGACGCATCAGGGCCTCGTGAACGTTCCATGCGCCCTGTACTTTGGAGTTGATGACGGTTGAGTAGTCAGACCACGTCATCTTTTCGAAGAGCACGTCTTTGAGGACCATGGCACCGTGAATGACGCCGCGGACGGGAGGTAGGCCGTCGAGCTGGCACGTGAAGAGACGATCAACACTCGCCTTGTCGGCGACATCGCAGGAGCGGACTGCAATGTTGGCGCCTCGAGCGCTGGCCTCCTCAATGAGGACGCGGACGTTGTCGGTGATGGACCCACGACGGGACAGGAGGACGAGGTTGCGGGCACCGTGGGCGACCATCCACCGGGCCATGCTGCGCCCGAGACCACCTGTGCCGCCGATTAGTACGTAGGTTGCCTGGGCCTGCAGTAGAGCGTCGACGGTTTTGGATTGCGTGGCCTGTAACTGTGAGCGATGGTGCTGATGTTTTTGAGGCAGAAGAAGAACTCACCATGACCATCTCGTCCGCCTGAGGAACGACAACCACCTTGCCAAACACTGGGCCGCTTTGGAGCGCCTTGAACGCCGCATCGACGGCTGAAATTCCATAGTCCATAGATGTCGCAAGAGACCGCACCTTGCCGTCTCTAACAAGCTTCGCCACACTTGCAACAAGTCTCTCCACCACCTTTGGCCGGTACTGGGCCAGGTTGAAGACATCCACGCTCATAAAGCAGGCATTATTGTTGGACTGCCCAAGGTTGAGGCGAGCGCCCGAGTTGCCGTCACCACGTTCAACATCGACAAGATGGCCGAACCGACTGAGGCACGCCCAACTCTCTCTCAGGCTCTCCGCTCCCGGGAGTAGGTTGAGAACAACGTCAACGCCGTCGTTAGCGGTGACGTGCCGAATAGCGGGCCCGAAGGACAGGTCCTGGCTGTAAAAGATGTGGTCCTCTGAGACGTCAAAGGAGCCCATGACGAGGGCCTTCTCCTCTGCCGAGCCGACAGTCACAAACACCTCGGCGCCTATAACTTGCGCGAGATGCAGCGCCGCTTGTCCGATACCACTGCCAGCCGCGTGGACAAGAACCCGCTGGCCAGCTTCAAGGCGGACCTGGTCGATGAGGGCATAGTGAGCTGTGCAGTAGGCCAGGGGCAGGCTGGCGGCGTCCTTGAAAGACAGCGTCTCAGGGAACTTGAAGACCCTTGAAGCAGAAGCACGGGCACGCGTGGCAAAGGCAGAGCTGTTGAACGTCAGCGCAGCAATGGCATCGCCGACGCAGAAGGATGTGACGGCACTGCCAATTCTTGTAATGACACCCGACGCCTCGACGCCCGGGGCGTGCCTCTCTGCATCGGGGACATGGCTCTTGGCCAGCACGGCGTCTCGAAGATTAATACCGACGGCCTTGACCTCGAACTCGACTTCATCGTCCGCAACGGGGGCCTGACCGGCTTCGTCGTCGACAAAGTGCGAAACGTCACCTGTAACAGAAAAGTCCATCCTCAGCATCCGATCACCCTGCCCGAAAGGCTGCGCCTCAACGACATCAGGGTTTGTCTCGCGATGGACGTGCTCATTCATGACCTCGTCGCGCACGATCCTCGGTGTGAAAAATTCGCCCCGCCTCTCCATGAACTCAAGCTCCCTGCTCAGCGACAAAGCGTTGACGCCGAACACGAGGCCAAATACTTTCATGATAGCTGAGCTGGCCTCGCTGTCATTGAAGAGGCTCGTGCCATCGAGATCCATCGTCGCAAAGGGAAGCACGGCCTCGGAGCGGACCGTCCTACTAAGACCGAGGATCATGTTGCTCTCAGGTGACGTGGAGCCGGCGTACGCGCCGCGGACGACCCAGAGGGCGCCTTGGACTGTCGTCAGCATCTTCTGGACAGAGGCAAACTGCGACTCGGTGGGGGCGGCGAGGAATGGCGAGTCAATCTCCGTCAGGACGACACAGAGCTTGCCCTCAGTGGCGACCTCGCCAAGGCCACCCATCTCAGGAAGCTTGCCCGTTACGCTGGCAATGGCGATGGCGAGCCCGTTGGCAATGAGCTGCTGCGAGTTGGACTCGCCATGGATAATGACAATGTCGGCAGTGCTCAGAAGAGGTTTCTCCTCAAAGGACGTAATGGACTCCCACTCAATTTTGTAGCACAGCTCGCGCGCGGGGTTGCTGTCTGCCTCGATCGTTCCGTCAAGCAGTGGAGACACTGTGAGGCCATCGATCTCGAGAATCAAGTCCTGCGAGTCTTCGGACGATGCTGCTAGGACCGAGACTTGTGTAGGCTGGGGCTCTGAGGCAGCAGCAGGGAACTTGGCCTCGCAGAACGCACGAAGGCTGCTCCCGGCATCTTTGGTGAGTGCTGTGATGTCCGCTGAGACGACCATCCTGTTGAGAGACGAAGGCAAGTAGACTGTGTTGATTGATTCTCTCCCAGCACCGAGAACAGGCCAGTACATCTCAATGGCAGATTCGAGGAATGTAGGGTGGAGGACCATGCTCGTCATGTAGTTGTTCGGCATATCCTGTGCGACGTCAGGCGAGATGATGTTGCCAACAGAGCAAACATCAGACGCCTTGCACTCTGCGACGCCCTGGAAGGCAGGCCCGTAGCCAACACCGAGCTCAGCGAGCGAATCGTACATGGCTGCCTCCTTGATGGCAACCGCATCACTCAGAGAGGATACAATAGCCTGTGCTCCCCGTCGCCACGCCGCCTTCTGCTCAGCACTCTCAACATCGTTGCTCGCATGACGCTGCGTGGCAACGCGACCGGTGCAGTTCTCCGTCCATCCGCTCGCCTGGCTCCACGAGCAGATGCGGAACTCGTACCACGCCTCCGTAGATGCGGACGACGTCTCTTGCTGTGGGCGAAGGCTAATCGTCATCTCGACGTCCGCCGTGTCAGACAGAGCAAGGGGCTTGACAACGTTGACGCCCCTGAGCTCGAACCTGTCAAAGGCGATCTCCTTGCGCTTTGACCACTGCGCCGCTGCCTCGAGGGCCATGGCCACGAACCCGGAGAACGGATAGATGGTCAGGCCTTGCACCTTGTGGTGCCGAAGCCAGGGCAAGTCGTCGAGGTGCACCATGTTCCGCCACGTCGGCTCGAGGTCGCTCGAGTAGATAGCCTCGACGCCGATGATATCGCTGCGCGCGCCCTCGCGGTGCTTGTGCATCCGCGTCATGCGCGACTCATGCCAGTACCGCGTCTGGCGGTTCCACGCGTAGCGCGGGAGATCCGTCAGCAGCGTGGGCGGCTTGGCCATGGACAGGGCGTCAGACTGCGGGAAGTTAATGGCGTCCATGTTCAGCATGGCTCCCTTTGTGATGAGCGTGGCGGCCAGGTCCATGGCCGACTCGACGGCGTCCTTCTTGCGGGCGAGGGCCGAGGCGTAGGGGACCTTGGCTGCGGGACCGCCTATCTCCTTGAGAATCTGCTTGATGGGACCCTGGAGGGCCGAGTGAGGGCCCAGCTCGAGGATCATGTTGACGCCCGTCTTGTGGTCGCCGACGGGCTGCAGCATCGTCTCGAAAGCTTCGGCGAAGCGGACCGGACAGGTCAGGTTATTGACCCAGTAATGGGACTCGCACTCGGTGCCGTCAATCTCGACGCCATGCAGGGAAGAGTGGAAGCGAACAGTGGTCTTCTGCGGCGTGGGGAGAGTCTCGATAGCGCTACGGTACTCCTTGGCGACGAGGTTCATGTGGTGGGAGTGGTATCCGACATCCACTTGCAGGCGACGGTTGAACATTTGTTTCGCCTCGACGACCTGGGACAGGTCGTCCAGGCCAGCACTGTCGCCGGAAATGGTAAGACTGGACGGGCTGTTGAAGCAGGCGATCCTGATGTTGGGAATGGCATCGATGATGGGCTGCACCTCTTCCTTTGTGCCGCCGACGGCCATCATGGCGCCCTTGAGGTCAGGGAAGCGCTGCTTCAGGACTGGGATCATGCGGCCGCGGTGGTACGCAACAGACATGGCCGCCTCAAAGGATATGACACCAGCAGCGTATGCGGCACCAATCTCGCCGCTCGAGTGGCCGACAACAGCCGTGGGACGGATGCCCCAAGCCGTCAGCAGATCGGTCAGAGCGAGCTGGACAGCCGTGCAAGATGGCTGGCTGATATGCGCTTCAGAGACCTTGGACGTCTTTGCATCTCTATTCAGCTCTTCGACCAGGCTCCAGTCGGCACCGAAGGCTCGCAGGCAGTCGTCAGCCCGCGCAATGGCAGCAGCGTAGATGGGATACTGCTCGAAGAGCTCGCGACCCATGCCGTACCACTGCGCCCCCTGGCCAGTGAAGACAAAGCCCATCCTCAGGGGCTCACTCTCTTTTCCGGGCACGAGCTTGCCGCCATTGAGAGCCTCGATGAGCTCGAAGGAGTCGGCGGCAGGGATGGCCACGCGACATGGCAGCAGAGATCGACGAGATCCGAGTGTGTAAGCAACGTTCTTCATGAGGTCCGCTTGGAAAGATCTCGGGGCCTCTGCTCGAGATAGATGACCATCTGCTTCATGACGGGCGGCGAACCGAGTTTTTTGGTCGTTGGCGGAGACGGACAAAGAGCTTCTTGCTCCGAGCCTTCTCATCGGGGGTCGCCGACCTTGTCGACTGCCAGCTCTCCGACCGCTTTGCGGGGAAGGGAGCCTTGCTGAGGACGACGTGCGCGTTGGTGCCGCCGAAGCCAAAGTTGTTGACACTGATGTACTTCTTGTTTCTCGGAAAGGGTCGTTGTGTGGTGGGGACCTTCAAGTGCCACTCGCTCCAGGGGATCTTCTCATTTGGCGTCTTGAAGTCGTGGTTCGGCAGGAGAAAGTTCCTCTCCAGCATCATGGCCGCCTTGATGACAGCAACGATACCAGACGCACCCTCCAGGTGGCCAATGTTCGATTTGACGGAGCCGATGAAGAGCGGATCTTTCGCCGTCCTTCCTTGGCCCAGCACGTTGTGGATGGCCGTGGCCTCGAGGGGGTCGCCAACTTTGGTGCCCGTCCCGTGGGCCTCGACGTAGCCGCAGTCGGAGGGGTCGAGGCCTGCATTTCGGTAGACCTGTCTCATGAGTTTCTCCTGCGCTGAGCCGTTGGGCATTGTAATGCCGGGCGTCTTGCCGTCTTGATTGATGCCACTGCCTCTGATGACGGCACGGATTGAGTCATTGTCCCTCAGAGCTTGGTCGAGCGGCTTCAACACGATCATGCCGCAACCCTCGCCGCGGCCGAAGCCGGTTCCGCGGTTATCGAAAGCTATTGAGCGACCCGAGTCTGATAGAAGGCTGTGTTGCCGTCAGTCTGAGTTGCTTCCAACAGTGGAGGTAAGACACTAACCGGCATGATGAGAAGGACACCCAAAATTCGGGTAGCATATTAAGATGGCAGCCACCGACGATGGCTTGATTAGACTCTCCGGCTCGCAGGCTCTGACACGCCTGGTGAAGCGCCACGAGACTGGAAGAGCACGCTGTGTCGACGGTATAACTAGGACCTCGAAGATCGAAGAAGTGTGATAGCCTGTTTGCTTGCATTGCTTGTGCGCAGCCTGTCGCATGTCAGTACTCGCAAGGCCTTCTAACGGAATATACAGAGAAGAAAAAGGAGATGAGGCTCACCTGTGGCCTGGTGCATGGGGATCGTGTCGCTGTCGCGGAACAAATGGCTCTCGTACTCGGCAAAGTTGCCGCCAATGAAGACGCCGACATCCTCCCCGACAATTGAGTGTTTGGGGATGCCAGCGTTCTCGAGCGCCTCAAAGGTGCACTCGAGCAACAGGCGCTGTTGCGGATCCATTGAAATGGCTTCCTTTTCTGTCAGCCCGAAGAAGGGGGCGTCAAACGCGGCAAGATCGACGTCCAGAAAGTTGCCTCCAGAGGCGTGGTACGTCCCCGTCTTGCCCGGATTAGGGTGGTAGAACGTGTCGTGGTTGAAGCGCTCCTTGGGCACCGGCGTGAAGCCGGTCCTGGCGCGCGAGCACAGCTCCCAGAACTCGGCAGGGCTGGCGACGCTGCCGGGCAGGCGGCATGCCATGCCGACAATGGCAATGGGCATGCTGCTCTGGTCCTGGTTCGGACGACGGCCGGCGCTTCCGTTTCTGAGAGCGTCAGGGTCGGCGTGCTCGTCGGTGCTGGCTCTGCTGAAGCCGCTGCTACTGCTGCTCCTGCTCGCAGGGCCGTCTGGACGGACGCCATCAAGGCGCCTGCCATCGTACGGGCCCACGGCCAGGCCAGATAGTGAGTCGACGGAGGATGTGTGAGAGTGCGTAGCCGGGGTCCTGACGCCCGCGCTGGCTGATGGCGATGTGCCGCGGGACGAGTATGACAAGATGCCAGGAGCCATGATGAACTATTAATTGGGGAGATCACAGATCCCCGAGTCTGCTGCTGCGGATGTTTGATTTGTGGTTTAGGAAATGGTGTAAGTCACGGCAAACTCACTCGTCCAGGAGGAGGTTAAAGAAAGACGAAGTGAAGTAGTTCGGTGCAAAGCAACGCACAAGGCAAGACACACAACGACCAGAGACTTCTCTGTTGCTTAGGTGGAAACGGGCGAGGCCGGTTGATATGACCTGGAGTAAGTAAGGTTCCAGATTGGCTATAGAGATGCTATGCCGCGGGAGCATAAGTCCGGCGCATGAGATCGCCCGGGAGCGGAGGAAGGTGGGCATGGCACAGGGTACAGGGTCAACGCTAGGATGAGATCAGCTGCAGCCGAATCGACATGGGTTTGAGTGATCTGATCGCCAAGTCAGCCGAAGCTCCTTGAGGTTCCAAACACGTTTCTGGTAGTACGGGTGGATGCTAGCGATAACATGGGCCACGGCATCCGAATCGCCTACCTTAGCTCGAGTGCCACGGGGAAACCTGAGATATCAGGGGGCTCGCCGTCTCACCACGACTCGCGAGCTACTTCAATTGTGACCTGACTAATTGACGTTAGCCGCTAGCAAGCACCTGGTCACTTGGAGCGCTTCCTCGCTAGGCTTGTGATCTTGGCCCCTCAGGGCAAAACCCGACTGAGCATTCTGCGCGATTAAATACAATGAACACTGATAGCAGCGGTGGCTTGATTGCTCCAAGGGCCCTGGATGCAAAAGCAACTCAATGGCGAGAATGAGATGGCTGGGCGAGGACTGAGCACCGGTTGCGAGAGGATAAGTGAGGATGAAGTCAGTGCGCCATCGGTAAGACCCCGGATTGTGGAGTCGGCTCGCCCCTGAATATGGCACAACGCACTTTGAGGTAGAGAGATCTGATGCTTGGATGCGTAGGTAGCTGGTGGGCCGAGAAAGGCACGTGGCATCACCTATTCCCATTACAGTCCTTTCTTAGACCATAGTCAGGACCTTGATGGGGAGGGAAATCTCCAAACACGTATCTGGGTAGATTCAAAAACCCTCCCAGATCCCCTGGCTCTCTCTTGAGATGTAAGGAAGGTACTCGAATATCTACATCTACATATTCGTATGGGCATACCGAGACGCTGTCACGGATGCCATTGTCTTCCTCTTCATTCGTGACCCAACCTCTTCAACGTGGTTTCGCAAACTTCACCTCTATCAAAAATAGACCAGAATTGCGCCATGGTCGCTTCGGAAGGCTGAGTTTACCGATCAGACGAGGCCTAAAAGCCTGGAGAATAGCGGCACCAGTGCAACACCAACAAACCACCCCTGACGTTCGGACGGAGAACAGACTGCGGCTTCTGGGCTCGGTCCCCTCACCCGCGAGGGCTCATGGGCAAGCTCACTGGTCATTCAACACAGATCGTCAAGGCGCACGGGGCCAAACCAATTGGTGGCACGGCATCGCGGGCGGCAGCTCACGTACCATCGTAGGTAGGCGCCGTCAATGGAACCATGATTGCTAGCTATTCCCCACGCCAAGCAAGGGCCATCTCAAACACTGACGATACCATGCTGTCAATTGTTTCAGCTTCTGCGGATCTCTTTTGCTATGAAGCGGGGCTTGCTTCTTGTTGTGTGAGCCATCGCTTGTGCGGGCATCATCACCGCGACGCAGTTGCGAAGCGCAAGGGGCAGTGTCTGGTTGTGTAGCGCACTTGGCTCAGGGTCTCTTGGGAGTCATGTCATCCCCAGGCTTTCGATTCTCAAGAGTCTGAGCGGCTGGGCAGACCTTGAGGCGATCACGTACATCATCCGAAGCGAATCCTACCTTACCTTGTTCTCTAATCCAATCTCATGTTTCCACATCGTTCGTTCTCGAAGGCCGTTTGATTTGGCTGTACTTAACGTATTCCGGCGCCGAACCAACTCAAAAGTGTTGTATCAAGGGCAACAATCATGAAGTTCCTCTGTCTTCCTGGCGCCTACGGCAGTTCTGATGTGAGTTTGATGTCTGCGAACCATTCTAAATGAGATCATCTAGCTGACCGGACTTAGAAATTCCAAGTCCAACTGGGTATGCTCCAACATTGTGGGCTGAATGTAAAGCAGCTAACAGACTTCAAGCTCCCATTCTCAAAGAACTGACCGACGACGGCACCGCCACCTTCCATTTCGTTCACGGCCCTTGCATAGCAGTGCCGCCCGAGGGCTTTGAGGAATATTTCGGCCAGCCGCCTTATTACCGCTTCATAGAGCCCGATCAAGACGTTGAGATATCCGATGACGAGGATGTCCTAACGCGCATCCGGGACTTTCCCGACTGCGAGACACCAGAAGACACCATGCGGGAGCTCATGAGGGAGGGTGCTTCATCCGGCAAGAGCATCGACCAGGCCATCAAATACCTGTCAGATATTGTGGCCAAGAGGGGTCCCTTTGACGGCATCATTGGGTATTCTGAAGGCGCGACGGTCGCTGCGACGATGATGCTTCACGAGCAGCGCCGGCAGCAGCAGTCTGGCGCGACGCCCCTCTTCAAATACGGTATCTTCTTCGCCGGCTGGCCGCCCGTTGATCCTACCAATTACTCTGTTTTGCTGTCTGACCAGACTGAGGAGCGCATCGAGTCGAGAACATTACATATCAGTAAGTCGGTCTCTTGATAAGGATAAGTGGTAACGAACCTGGCAATACTGACTATACCGCAGTCGGATCCCTGGATCCCTACCTGGACGGCTCAATGGCGCTTTACAATGTCTGCGACCCAGACTCGGCGTATCTTTTTGACCACGCCAAAGGCCACACGCTACCTCGTGACAAAGGAACAATCAGAGAGCTCGGGGACGTTGTCCGTGAGGCCATTTGCGCCATGAGGGAAGAAGGCGTTTTGTAGTAGATTGGCAGCATATACCCTTTGTTTTTGACCTGTTCCTAGAATTTGCTCCAGGGCATGATGTTAACATCTGCGGCCTTTGGCTTCGACACTTAATAGAACAGATGCTGGCATCTTCCCAATACCGCGATGTGCCCACAGCATGAGGTAGCCAGCCATCCGTTCCACTGTACCTTGCAATTGCAAGGAAAACGTGCAGAGCGCGCAAAGATGACCTCCACACAGGACCGCTGTTCAAACAATCTTGTTTCAAACTTGTTATTTCAGCTAGCACCCAAACATTCGCGTGCCCCGCGCTCCCGGCCACATCCGTGTGGTCTCTGTGCTCGAGCCCACGCCACTAGGCCGCTGGTTCACCCGCCGTTTCGACAACGATCAAAAGGAAAACCACAATGGCCCAGGGCTCGGCTCCTTCTCACTCCCTAAGCAGCCGGTATCTTTCTTGCTGTATGGAACCTTGAGTCGGCGGCTGGAACTTCTGCGCTCATGTTCTGCCTGAACCACTGCATCTAATACTTGCTTCAAACACATTTTCGGTCTGCTATTGCTCATGACTTTTTTCTGAGTTGAGGCTGGTCTCTCATTCATCCGATTGTGCCTGTCACTTTTCTCAATCATTTTTCCATTTTCCCGGGTGGTGTTCTCATTGTATGTCCCGGTCTTTACGGAGTTTGTGATACAGAGAGTCCGCGCCCGCTCCGATGGCTGACAATGATGCCGGCGTCGCACCGGCGGACGAGACGGAGGATACGCAGCCGAAGCCGAAGATTGACCCCAAGCATTGGATCACCATATTTAATTTTATTGTGTGTTTCATGCCATATGGTTTTCCTGTTTGTTTGCTGATCAGCCTTCAGAGAGTCTTGTCATATGCCACGGCATGGGACAGACTGCTGCTCATCGTGTCGGTGGCTGCTGCCGTCGGCGCTGGCTTGACGATGCCTTTGATGAATATTCTGTTTGGTAGGAAAACCACGTTGTTATAAATCCCTTCAATGCCTGACCATACATAGGCCAGCTTGTCGGTGTCTTCACTGGCTTCTTCAAACAAGGCTCCGACGAGACGACACAGGAGTTTCTCGATGCTGTCAATGTCGGCGTGTAAGTCATCCTCTCACGCAGGCTTCTGGTATTTGGACTGATGACGCGCCTAGCTTGTACATGGTGTACTTGTTCTTCGCAAGACTAGGTCTGACCTACATCGCCAATGTTCGTTTCACTTCTTAAAGCTTCCGAACAAGACTGATACTTCCTTAGCTCGGTTTCCGCATGACGAGCCTCCGCATCTCAGCTGCCATACGCTTGACTTACTTGCAGACCCTATTTACGCTTCCAATATCCATGCTTGACATGCTCCCTCCTGGTCAGACAGCTGCCATCATCACCACGACTGCCAGCATTCTCCAGAACGGCATATCCGAAAAGATGGGCCAGTTCTTCTCCAGCATCGCCACCGTGGTCGCAGGCTTCTGCATTGCCCTCTCCTATAATTGGATGCTTACCCTCGCCACGAGTACGGGTCTCGTTTTCATTGCCATCGTTTATCTGCTCTCCGCGCCGCCGGTAGTACGCATCATGGGCGAAGTGCAGGCAGTTGAGGTGCAAGCCGCGTCCGTTTCAACCGAAGCATTCGCGTCGTGGAGGATGCTATCAGCTTGTGGAGCGGAAGGCAAGATGATGGCAAGGTATGCGAGCTTTGTAGATGAGACAAGGCATAAGGGTTTTGGGCTGGCGTGGATCGTAGCGGCGCAACAGTCTCTGAGTGAGTTCGATGCTTCTGACGGTATCAACGCCTGCTGACTTGGCAGTTTTCTTCGCCATATATGCGTATGACCCTCGATGCCTGCACTTGAGAGATACTCTCCGAGAGGGTTGGCCGACTAACAGGTGCTCAGTACTTTTGCCCTGGCCTTTTGGTATGCCTTCATGCTGTACTCCATGATGGCTATTACTAGCCCCGAGCCTTTGATTGTGTACGTCCTAGTCACTGCATAGAACTATTCCAGCAGCTGATGCATCCAGCGTACTTCTATGCGTCATGGTTATGGCCTCATCTATCGGTCAGATCACGGCGCCTCTCTCTGCCGCCTCCCAAGCTGCGTCAGCCGGCGCCATCTTTCACACAATCATTGACGCCCCAAAGACGACGTACGGGACACTCAAGGCGCCTGAAATCTCAGCCGACGGAGACATTGTCCTCGAAAACGTCAATTTTGTCTATCCGACTCGTCCGGACGTCAAGATTCTGGAAGGCCTGAACCTTTGCTTCCCAGCCGGCAAAGTCACGGCAATAGTCGGTCCCTCGGGCTCCGGAAAAAGCACCATCGTCGGCATCCTGGAAAGATGGTATGAATTCAACGGCGATCCCGTCACGAACCAACTAGTACGCTGCCATCTGAACCTCCCCCTGGTACACTTCATGGCTAACAGGCAAGGTTCTCTGGCTCCGCAACGGTCTCGTCACCGTAGGCGGCCACAAGCTCAGCGACATCGACCCTAAATGGTGGCGCAACCAGATTGGTCTGGTCCAGCAGGACAATGCTCTGTTTAATACAACCATTTACAAGAATGTCGAGCATGGCCTCATCGGCACAGAGTGGGAGTGCGAAGCCCACCACGTCAAGGCCAAGCTTGTCGAGGAAGCGTGCAGAGATGCTTTCGCCGACGAGTTCATTGTCCGCCTGCCAGATGTACGTTTCCTTGTCTGTTCTTGGGTATTTGTGCCCTTGATCGAGATGCTTACTTCGCCAGGGTTACCAAACAGCCGTTGGCGAGTCTGGCATCAAGCTCAGCGGTGGCCAGCGCCAGCGCCTTGCTATCGCGCGCGCCATTATCAAGAAGCCCAAGATTCTCATCCTCGACGAGGCAACATCTGCCATCGATGTGCGCAGCGAGCAAATTGTCCAAGCGGCCCTCGACCGGGCCTGCAGAGGACGCACGACGATTGTCATCGCACATCGTCTTGGCACCATCAAGAAGGCGCATAATATCGTGCTCCTGCGCCATGGCAAGGTTGTCCAGCAAGGAACGCACGAGAGCCTAATGAAAGAGGTCGGTGGTGCATATCACACTCTTGCAACAGCACAGCAGCTGGACATGGGGGATGGTGCACGAAACGACCTTGATAGCTCATCATACGATTTAGGGATGGGGGAAAAGTCGGCTTATACTGACGACACAGATATGCAAGAAGATTTCGACGAGAAGGCAGTCGGTCAAGATAGGCGATCAAGGCGGAGGAGCCGGGATAGTTGGCGCAGTCTTGAACTTCACGATGACGATTCTGACGACGACCTGCTTGATGCTGAGGAGTCACTTCTGAGGGTCATGAAAGGCCCGGACCAGCGAACAGGCAGAATCGGCCGCCTGTTACGACCTTT